TTTTCTTTCTTTCTTGTCTTCTTAATGACTTTATGCTTTCTACCTGTATGATGTTCTTGATGTCATCCCACAACTCTTCTGGTCTTTGGTCTTTAGTGTTTAATGTATCCAATCTGTTCTTCAGATGATCTCTAAAATCAGGTGGGATATATTCAAGGTCATATTTTGGCTCTGGTGGGCTTGTTTTCATTTTATTCAGTTTCAGTTTGAATTTGCATATGAGTAATTGATGGTCTGTTCCACAGTCTGCCTGTGACCTTGTTTTGACTGATGATATTGAGCTTTTCCGTCTTCTCTTTCTGCAGATGTAGTCATTTTGATTTCTATGTATTCCATCTGGCGAAGTCCATGTGTATAGTCATCTCTTATGCTGTCTAAAGAAATGAACAAATCATTGATTTTGCAGAATTCTATCATGCATTCTCTAGCAGCATTTCTATCGCCAAGGCCATATTTTCCAACTACTGATGCTTCCTCTTTGCTCTCAACCTTTGCATTCCAATCATCAGTAATGATCAGTACATCTTGATTGCATGTTTGATCGATTTCAAATAGAAGAAGTTGGTAGAATTCTTGTGTTTCATCCTCACTGGCTTTAGTGGTTGGTGCGTAAATTTGAATAATAGTGGTATTAACTGAGCTTCCCTGTAGGCGCATGGATAGTATCCCATCACAGACAGCATTGTACCTCATGACTGATCTGGATATGTTCTTTTTGACAATGAATGCAACACCATTCCTCTTCAATTTGTCATTCCCGGCATAGTAAACCATGTGGTTGTCAGATTCAAAATGGCCAATACCAGTCCATTTCAGCTCACTAATGCATAAGATATCGATGTTTATGCATTCCATTTCATTTTTGACAATTTCCAATTATCCTAGATTCATACTTCGTACATTCCATGTTCCAATTATTAATGGATGCTTACAGCTGTTTCTCTTCATTTTGAGTTGTGCCCCATCATCAAATGAAGGTCCCGAGGGCTTTACTCCAACAGGCTTTACTCCATTCACGTCATCATGGTCAACTCTACTTTCAGGAGGCAGCTCTTCCCCAGTCACGTTTTGAGTGCCTTCCAACCTGAGGGGCTCATTTTCCGGCGCTGTATCTGACAGTGTATCTCTGCTATTCATAAGATTTTCAGTGACTAAATATTTGGAAGTAGTTTGTCACTCCTTCTTCCTACTCTGTCTTTGGGAAGCTCATCTGAAACCTGTCCACCCTGGATGACCTTGCTGGTATTTAAAATACCCGTGGCATAGCTTTCAGAATCACAGCAACTCACAAGCCACCACAGTACGACAAAGTGACAGACGTGTGATGGCCGGAGACACTGCTTAGCTATAATTCCTTCCTTTTCCCTGGCACTGGGATCAGGACCAGCTCCATAATGTGTGGGGCCCAGTGCAGAGTGAAAATGCAGGGTCCTTGTTAACAAATGATTAAGAATTCTGAGTGTGGGGCTTTGTGGAACTGCATGGCTCCCACAATGCCCTCGAAGCTGGCCCTGTGGGGATGACCTCAGGACCCTCTTACAGAGCTGGGGTGAAGACTAAAATGGATTCAAGTTCGACAGAGTCAACACTCAGTGTTGTCGTGGTTGTTGAGTGCCGTCTACGCAATTGAGTGCAACTCACAGTGCCCCAGATGACAGAACAGAACTGCCCCTAGGGCTTCCTGGGCTGTAGTCTATGGGAGCAGAGCGCCACGTCTTTCTCCCTTGGTGGGTTCAAACCACCAACCCTTGGGTAGCAGCTGAGCACTTAAGCATTGTGCCACCAGGATCCTATTCCTTGCCCTCAGTATTAACCAAACAAATAAAAAACCTACTGCCAGTGAGTCGGTTCTGACTCACAGTGACCCCATATAGGGTTTCTGAGACTAGATCTTTACAGGGGCAGACAGCCTTATCTTTCTCCTAGAGAGTGGCCAGTGGGTTTGAACTTCAGCCCAATGCTTATCTCACAGTGCCACCAAGATTTCTTATACTCAGTTGTGTTGTTAAATGCTGATGAGTCAGTTTCTGAGGAGCAGCTGGTTGGTTTGAACCACTGACCTTGCAGTTAGCAGTCCAGTGCTGATCATAAGCGTCACACCAGGACTCCTACACTCAATATTGGCTTTTATTTTTCTACAGTGATGAGGATTCTCACAAGTAGGAGAAACGAATCATCAGCACTGAGCTCTTTATTTCTCCTTGCCTGAAGAGCTGATATTTGCCTCCTTTTTAGAAAAGCCGAGCTTGACCTTGGTTTGGGATTACTCCTGCTCCAGCAGGACCAGATCTCTGACAGCCTCTGACTCATTGCAATGATCCCCGCCTGGACCCTCGCTCTTCCCTTACAGTAAGCCCACCTGGATTTGCATGTAGTGAGCCCCTACTTTGTGATGGCTCAGTGCTGTGCTCAGCTTGTCACAAACCGGTGAACAAGACAAGTCCTTGTCTGTGTGTAGCCACATCCCAGCAATTCCTCATCTTACTTAGCTGGTGGGCTTGGGGGCTCTGGAGGCTGCTGTTCATAAACCCCTCTCTCAAACGGGTCTGCTCTGAACTGGGCACACCAAACCTCACTGGGCCACATCTGTCCACAGGACCGCTTCCCACCCAGGCACTTTTGTTACCTTTTCAAACCTTTATTCTTCAGAACTGGACTGCTTGCTGGACCCTGGCTAGAAAACTTTTTGTATTCCGTCCTTGCTTAGAACAAGTTGTCTCACCTGCTGGCCTGCTAGACTCTGGGTTCCATGAGGACAGACTCTTTCTGAAGCATCTCTGTGTGTGTCCAGTACGTGGTAGTTAGGACATGGACAAGAAGTAGCCGTTGAGTAAGAGAGGGAATGACCTCTCACACTTCTCAGACCACAGCACCTGCCGCAGAGCCCAGCATCCAGCAGACGATCAGTGCACATGAGGTAGCCAGGTCTCTGTTCACCTGGAGCAGTGGAGGAAGGAGGAGAGTCAGGATTAGGAGGAGGAGGTGGACTGTGGCTACGGGCTCCAAGAACAGCTAGCTGCCTCCTTTGTCACGAGACCAGAAGAAACTGGATGGTCCCTGGTCACCATGACTGAACATTTCAGTCAAAGATTCCATATAAGAATCCTGATCAAAAGGGGGAGGTGGGAAGGGAAGCCAGTTTTTTGAGCCATGAAGGCTACATGAACCCCCTCTCTGACACATTTACCCTGAGATAATCTCTCAGCTTTAAACCAAAAGTATCCCCAGGAGTCTTCAAACTGCATAGTAGGTTAGCTTCTCTAGTAAGGAGTGTCTGCCCAGAGTGCTGTGCTCTTTTCAGCTCGGTCTCTATGGGATCAAGGAGTCTTGGTGTGGCGCTGTGGGACAAAGCACTGGACCACAAAGTTGGTGGTTCAAACCCACCAGCTGCTCCTCGGAAACGCTATACAGGGTCGCTCAACGGCACTTAATAACATCCTTTACACTGTAAAGATTAAGTAGCTTTCAAACTACGTCGTGGATTGGAATCTATAGGATGACTCATTTGCCTAATGTAATGACCATTCGTCCCTAACTGAGGAGCTCTGTAAGTGGATTAGGTTACAAGTCAGGCTGCTAACTGCAGGGTCTGCAGTTAGAACCCACCAGCCACTCCACAGGAGAAAGATGAGGCTCTCTGCTCCTGTAAAGATTTGCATTCTGGGAAATCCTAAACAGAGTCTCTGTGAGTCGGAACCAACTCCACGGCACACAACCACCCCCACCCTGATTGGAGATGCATTTGAGTTAGGATGAACCATTTGCTTTCTTTTTCTTCAATGATTTGCTTTTTTAAAGAATGTATGTATGTACTAAAATATATCTGTAAGTTTCTACATAATATTTCTAACCCCAAAAGACAAAGATGGGATTTATAAAGATACCAATTTATAAAAACGTCATTAATGAGAACTAGACTTCTGGTGTAATGCTGTTGGATCAGCCCTGAACTGCAATCTACAATGTTGGCAGTTGAAACCCACTAGCTGCTCCTTGGAAACCCTATATAGGGTCGGTATGAGTCAGAACTGACTCAACGGTACTTAAAAACAACAACAATAATGAGAACTGAAAAAGAATGACTACCCCCACTTGCAGATAATACCCACTCAACCTGGCTTCAGTGACTGGATGATCAGAGCTCAACTAGAAGAAAAAAGAAGAGGAAAAAAAGAGTAATCTGATACATTTGATGAACTTGACCTATACCTATGGATGCAGCAGCTTAAAAGAGGGAACAAATCTTTACAGCGAAGATTATTCCCACCCCTTTGCTACACAGGGTAGACAGGGATGGGCAACTTAGACATTGGCTACCAAAAATTGGGAGGGGGGAAGCTACAAAGGCAAGTAGTGACTGGCTTACAAGCTTTCAAGAGGGAGCCTAGATCCAGAGGGCATGGAGGAAGGTAGAATCTCCACTGAGTAGTATCCAATCTGTCT